CCTCAAGGAGAGGCTGTCATGTGTAAAATCTTGTTCAGAACCAGGAATTGTGTTTTGTTGGGCTGCACCAGCAGGACTAAGCTCTTGTAAATGTTGAAAACCAATTTGTTAATGTCTAAACGCTGTACTAGTTTTCCCTCAAGGACAAGGATTGATATTCAACATAACTTGCCTAGACACCACTGAAGAAGAATATGGAGAGCGATGATACTCAAGAGGAATTATGCCAGAGATCTCGAGCACCAGAAATTGTCTTTTTTCCTCTTTCCTCTCATCTTCTCTCAGTCTGTAGTTCATTAGCTTCACTTACACTAATACAGTCTGTCTGTTCCATGAAGAATCAAAAAATCTGGTGTACAGTGCATTTCTTTTCAACATTCACACTCAGCATTACTTATCTTTGCATTATCTAGTTTATCTTTAAAGTGTTCAGAGAGTTTTTCAGAAAAATCACTTGGCTGTTTATGGTAGTTAAATACTAAATGATATAGGATTGATTAAAAAGATCAGGCTACCAGCCTACCAAAGCGTTTGAATCTGGAGGTAGCCACCATAAAATTAAAAGGGGGATCAATGGCGTGTCATATCCCTGCTGCTCCGCAGGCTGAACATGTAATTCTAACGCTGAGGCTACAGCCATCTCTCACGTCAGGCCTTCAAGCATCAGGCTCAATAACGCAGCCGCCCATGGCTGCTGTCTATTGCTACCCATGCTACAGTATTCACAAGCAGAAGCAGACAGATATTAGTTTGGTCTCTATCTTGTGGCTCCTCTGCAGACTTTTGGCCAGTAACATTGATACCATGAATGTATGTGTATTCGTTTCTTTGGGGTTTTTCTCAATTAGAGATAAAGGTGTTTGTAAAGATATTTTAATCATTATTTTAATCAATCAATTTTAAAAATCAGTGGGTAATATTAAGCATTGACACACAACCACATAACTGTGTTTAAATTTAAAACAATTTGCAGACCTTAAAGGTGAAGGTTTGTGCACCAATCAAAAGCTTGCTTTGAATCCTGCCCTTTGCATATGAGCAGCGCATGAGGGGTTCTTTTGATGTTGCTCAACTTTGCTAACCTGCCTACAGATCTCCGTGTGGTGGAGGGGCCTCCATGCAGCTGTTTTTGACGATGAAAAAAATAGCTCTGCTTTGCATGCACGCACACACACACACACACACACACACAAGCAGTTTCTTTGCTGGTGGCTGTGCACATCAGTTTTCACTGTCTCAGTGAGCGCAACCACAGGCAGCCAGAGGGCCTCACAAGGTGCCTCTAGTAGTCTTTTGTCACACTTTCCTCAAAGAGTTCTGTTGTGAATGAATTTCTGTGAGATGACAAACACAAACACAGTCTATTGGCTTCATTTACACCCAATTCATGCTTAATTCTATGAATACTGCTTGATTGTGCTGTGCAACCGGCTAGCAGTAGTTGCATTTTTTCCTGCTTTCCTTTTGTAATTACTGTGATGTTTTGCAAAATCTTTTCGTTATATGTGACAGCAAAACACCTTTATATATGAATTTCTTTCGTAAAAAGTCAATTACAGCTACATTTGTTTGTTTCTGAATTCTCTCTGACAGCATTTGTAGCAACCTGTCAAACCTTCTTGCTTAACAGCATACCATAGTTTTCACTCATAGTGTGAATGCTATGCAGCCATTCCAGTCCGATAACAGCATTTTCAGTTAATTTCCTGTTCACTGTATTGACGTTCTATAATGTTGTAAGGATGATTTTCACAGTGGAGATTTCACAAATCAATGTATGGATTTCTGATAATGGTTTAAACGTGTTTACTCACTTTAAATCAACCCCCCCCACTCATTTAACCCCATATAGACAATGAAGTGCCCTCAGAGAAGGGATGTGTTTTCATCACTGAATAGGGTTATTAGGACTCTGATAGGAGGGATGACCTTTGGAGGCCATTATCAACTTGGTCTAATAGGCTGTATTTGGCCGTGTCAGCTCTGTGAATAGCTGTGATGTTGGTAGGAGAGATGATCGATTCGATGACACATCTGTCTGGAACAGGTGCTGCTCTGATGTCTATCTCATCTCTTTGTCAGTGCTTGCTAGGTGCAGCTGGGTCTGATTCAACCCGCCGCCTGCTCTTGGCTTTATCTAGTTTCAATGGCTCGGAATTGCATTGCCAACCAGCCAAAAAGCAAGTCCCTGCCTGGCTGCCACTTCTTAGCTAGCCAGCCACTGTGCAAAACAAACTAGGGGCTGCACGATAACTCAGTCATCAACTAAATCATCTGTCTCTTTGTAATGATATCACAGCAAAGATCTCATATGAGGATATTGTGGTTCACTGTTGTCATAGCTAAATTAATGATGAGTTAAAATTAATCAAAATCTAATAGAATGTGAGATCATAAATACATCAACAATTTTTTTTCCAACATTTAAAAAAACGTACTTTAAATTCACCTTGTGATATTGAATACGTAAGGAAAAAACTATATGAAGATGAATTTTGTCCGTACTTCCCGTGCCTTAATACTGTATGAGCTAAGTGATAAATACACATTATAGGTTTTTCACATGTAGACTTCTAGAGGTCACTAATTGGCGGACCGCGGCCCAGAACCGGACCCAGGCGCCGTCCTCTCCGCCCCCCCCGACCTACAGCCAATTTATTATTGAGAAGTACTACCTGGTGACGGAGCGTTTCTATTTTTGCCTGCACAGCTTTTCTAGCATTTACTGTACTGGTTTAGCAGCACGGGAAACTCACAGACCAATTGCATGTGTTCCAATCGGCTCATGTGATGCTGCTCAGCCAATCAAATCTGTGAGATACACGTTTTGGAAACACACACGGAGAGAGGAGAAGAAAGAGAAAAGAGATTTGACATGGCTTTTAATCAAGAATGTATAGATGTACATTTACATACTTACATGAACATTCTTCCCACGGGCAGTTTAAAACCAGAATAGCTCATATATGTCCAATCCTAGCCAGAGCTCACATTTATCACTGAACAAGAGAAAGTGGCATAAAAGAGGGAATGAAAGGTAATAGGAGGCATTAAAGCTGTTCATTTGTTAACATGATGTTGAGTGTTTATTATAAAATTGGTTGAGACTACACTTCATCACTTCAAGTTACGCTTTTTATTTAATCTTTTTCTGAAATTAAGCACTTTATTTTAGTTTACTTAAATTTAGAATTTATAATTAGAGTAGTTATCCAATTTAATGTGAACACTGACTGTAAATATTGTTGAAATATTTGTCAGTTGTTGACTAAAAACATATGTTGATACAACTATACGTTAAGGCACTGAATTATTACGCAAGTTAGTTGTTATGAATTTCCGGACCTTTGCTTCGGGAAATTTTCTGTAACTGGACCTCTTTGAATTCTTATTGTCTATGTTGAGTGGTGCTCATTAAATATGCCTGAGATAGCTATCTAAATGGGTAGTTCATGCAGTTTATTTCACACTTTTATTGTAGAATAATTTTTACGCTGTTATGTCAATAACTAACAGGCGGGAGCTTATTCTCACATGTAATTTCTGACATAGTATATAGACAAAAAGACAGAGGCTTAAGTCTTGCCTCAACTCATGTAATTTATATATAATATTATTTGTCAACATATACACTTCTGGTCTCTCCCTCCCCCAGACACCTCTCCGTCTTTCTTTTATTGTTGTCTAACCTTGCATTCTTATGTTGTATATGCTCCTTGAATATAAAATTAGTCTGTATGAATGAATGGATAAGGAATAACAGTTTAATATTTCAGCACAGCTCAGCCACTCCTTAATCAGCCGGAGTAGCGGTGTGCAGAGAGAAACTTTTTTTTTCTCCAGGGACCAGTGTACTGGAATGAGACGCCACTCACCATTAGTCCGCTAGCTGCAGGAGCAGGCTTCAAATGTAAATACGGATCAGTCATCAGTTTTTTGTCACACAATAACCTCTTACAATTTCTTTCTCACTGCTTGTGTCTTACGGTTCCATGCTGTATTGGAAATGTTGAAAATACCACTGCAGATATAAAATTTTAAACTGAAGTACTGCTCTCGTTTATATTTCAGAGCACCTTGTAGTTTTCTGCAGTATTATATAAACTAATGATAGCCCTTCTGTGGGTAGCTTCAGTGGAGCAAAGCAATGTGTGTGTTTGTGTGTTGCAAGCTGACTAGTGGATTAGCTCTGTCCGATGGCAGAAGGAGAGGGATCTACTTTGACAGTGTGGTAGTTAGCCCATCTGTCTATAATCAGTTGTGTCTGTGTGTGCGTGCTGCTGCTATGGTACTATGTGCCAACAGGTGGTCAACAGTACCCTGATGTAGAGTTTTAGAGTTGCCCTTGTGGTCTGCCTAGTTTGCCAGCAAACCTAACTCTTGAACAGCTGCTTGTAAATACAGCATATCAGTTCAGCATTTAAAATGACAGAGTTGACTGGTCTCATGTAACGGGTTAAGCACAGTACTCAGTTAAAGTAAGCTGTCAATTTGTCATTTTTCTGTGAAGCTCCAACAAGAAGGCTAACCCACTCTCCCCCCTCATCATCTTTGTGTTTTGACTCTGACAGTCATTATTTGTGCATGCACCACAAAAGTCTCCACAACATATGTGTCCACATATAAATCAGAAGATACAGACACTGCCTATATTTAGAATGCATATCATGCAATCATGTACTATCCACTCATCTTATAGACAGCTTTGAGATTGGGAAGCGGGGAAATAGGTCCCACTGGATTAATTATACTTCTACTGATCATCTGGATCTTTTTGCTGTGGGTAATATATAGTGTGTCAGATATGGATGGCTGAAACAACCCCAACTGTTGGTCTGTATTGCTTTAAGTGAGGCCGTGTTGTGTTATAGCATCATTTTGTCTGTCTGTATTGTTTTGAGTCCACTGATTGTTAACTTTAAGGAATAACGACGAAATTCTGTGTTGTGGACTGCTCAGTTAAACTTAATGCTAATTAAGCTGTTTCACTGCCTCTGCAGGGAACCTCGGCCGTGTGGACTACATCAGTGAGTTCGAGTTTGACCTCTTCATCCGGCCTGACACCTGCAACCCCCGCTTCAGAGTCTGGTTCAACTTCACAGTGGAGAACGTCCGTGAGACACAGGTCAGCTACTATGGTCCTGAATAGTGTTACCATTAATCTTTAAGAGGGGCTTCTCTCCCAATTCCCTTCCATATTCCATTTCACACACAGACTTCTACTTTAAGGGTGCTAAATTGTCGCAATCAACAATAACTACCAAGTGCAGTGAATTAGAGACCTGCATGGGACTGTTTTCTTGATCCAGCTCCCGCTGATTTTGTGACCATTACCTCCCGCTCCCGCAACATCTATGTTACTCAACCGCCCATTCCCGCAACATGTGTATCCACTCCTGCCCGCACCCGCAAACATTGTGACATGCAGAGTAAAAAAGCGCACGTATGTTTGGGGTATGCTAAACGTTCAGAATAAATTAGGCCTACATAAATCGTTGCATTCAAACTGAGAATTTTTCCAAATTTCAGACTTGCCTTGCTGTTTTGCATAAGCCTCTGTGGACGGAAGCCAGTGAGACTGTGCAGTGAGTAAACCTCACTCCCAGCTTAAAACGCAATGGTGACCGACGCCAGTGGCCACCGTGTTTAGCCTCTTTTTCAGTGAATCCGCCTTCCTTATCCGAGGTCACCAGTTCGAGTCAGACCCATGCAGTACATTCTCGGGAGCAGCCGTATGCACTCGCGTTACTCTTCTTTTCGTTTGTTGACTCCATCTTATCAGCGCTACTGTGGGACCCGCAGTATATTTTTTAACCGCCCGCTCCCGCCCGCAGCAGAGTTAAAACCACCCGCGTGAGTTGCGTTGGGTCCCGCGGAACTTCTTAATTTTTCCGCGCATAAAATATATGTTGGCCACCTTAGAACTGAAGTTAATAATAGTAATTTAGCCCATTTAAAGATTCTGTGTTTCCCCTGGAACATTATTCTTTTGGAAGCTACTGCATTTCAACAAGACTATGGTGAGCAGAAAATGTTCCTCGATAAAATAATGCTATGTTTAGGTATGATATGGTTTCATGATGTCAGTAGTCTAGAGTCATACACATCCAAACTGTCACCCTTCCTCCGTGAGTGTCCTCTGACACATCTCAGTGCATTAGAAATTGGTGCCCCTAACGCCACCACAGATGTTTCTTCTCAGAATTGAGGCAGTCTTCTGTTTCCTACCTCACATCTTGTCGCAGCCTCCAAGCTTGATTCTACCACTAGCAAGCTCCGAGCCCCGTGATTGGCTGACAGATGTGGTCACATGCCACAGAGATACACTGTATGTGTGTACAGTGTGTGTGGCTTCACGGAGATGGAGGCTTTGCAGGAGGGTAGAAGGTAAAACTGACAGTATTGGCATTTAAGTTTGACTGCTGCTATGTAATTTATGCGCATACAAGCTTGTCAGGCTTAGATATGAAGCAAACAAAAAAAAGAGAGATAAAGTTTAGAGACAGTCTGAAGACAGCAAATGTAAAGACACAGGGAGTAAGATAGAAAGAGGGAGTGAGAAAGAGACTGACAAAGATGAGAGTAAGAAAAGAGAAAAAAGAAAAAGGGAATAAAAGGGGTGGGAAAAGAAGAAAACGACAAGGATGAATCCACAGCATGCTGTTGCTGCTGTCTTCCTGTAGAGTGTCCAACCCAGCCTATCTGAGGCTATCAGGCCTATCAGCCCATCTCCCTGCAGTGCTGTAGTCAGCACTAATCACATTTTATGGCTCTGAGATGAATGGGAGGCCTCGGCTTGGAGCCGGATCGATCCCAGGGCCAGATAGACCAGCAACAGCAGCCTGCAGCCTGGGCCAACAGGATATTTGCTGTTGTGGCAAAATGACAGAGAAAGTGTGACAGAGAGAAAGAGAGACAGTGACTGGGGAAGGCAATATGACACAATAAATGACAACAGACTGATATATCATGTATATGAACACAGTATGTAAAGTGGCACAGGCAAGAGCAAGCTTACAGGTGAGCAACTAATTCCAATGCACACTTTCACGCTCTCTCTCTATAGGCCCCCTCACATGCTTCTTTCATAGAAATCTGTTTCTTATCTGTCCAATTTCCTTCTTCAAAGAGGCCTTGTGTGAATTTAATCTACTCCAGTAGAAGGTGTTGTGGTTAAGTGCTGCCTGTGCATTTTGCCAAGGTGTGTGTGTGTGTGTGTGTGTACAGACGCTGTGATTAGAGTGTGTCTGTGTGCATAGAATCATCAGAATGCACATAAATCTATAGTTTACATCCTAATGGTTGTAATATTGTTATGAAACAAAAAATGAAACAGACAAAACAAAGAATAATAGCATGAGTAAATAAACCAACTAAGTGTAGCTATGTGGGGAGAGGCTGTGCTATAGAGATATCAGTGGGTTCCAGGGGAGAACTGGGCTGTTGGAGTGTTTCATCCAGCTAAGCCTTGCTAACTCTCAGCCTGAGCCAGGGGAATGGGGAACAGTAAAAGCCCGTGATATTGGAAGTGAGATGGCCATTTTGAAGGAATGTAAGCTGGTGAAACAGATTTGGTCTGCCTCAATCAGCTTAGCAGCTTTGTGGAAATTGGCTTCACCGTAGTACCGGTTATGATGGATGGCTGGATGGATGAATGTCTCTTTTTTGTGTGTCCATTCTTTTTTTCTTTTTTTTTTGAACCACTCAGTTACCTCAAAAGGCTCAGACCAATTCTGGTTACGTTAGTTGCAATGACTGGGACCATGTGACACTATCTGAGCTTTTGCTTGGTTATGTATATTTTTTTTCAGGACAATGTCTTGCAAAAAAAGAAGCTGAATTATTGGTCTGAATCTCTACTGGGTCACACAGGGAGACAAAGATTTAGAAGCACAATGCAATTTTGGTTTCTGTTGTATGGAGCATTTTCACCAGTCAAAAGTTTTACTGACGATACGATAAATTACTTACAAGTTAGTTATTATTTACTGCTAAATCACAACTGTTGGAAGGATTGTCAAGAGATTTGGTAGTAAACATTCATGTTTCCCTCAGGATGAATTGTAATACCTTTTATTGACTGACTCAACATCTAGCGCCATCATCAGATCAAAACTTAATTTTGTAGTTTTTGACCAAATAACTGCTAAACCAATGACATTCTCATAAACATTGTGTTTACTGCTAATTAGCAAATTATTGCATGCTAGCTAAAAACCCCACTGTGCCAATGTACAGAGCCCCTAGTGTGGCTGTAGACTTAAGCTGATGATACACGGGGCAACTTACAGAAAACACTGCTCTGAACTGCCTGAAAACAACTCGACTGTAGTCCAGCCTTTTCAGGGCCCACCCTACTCTGCTTCTGATTGGCTAGTGGTCCTTAACTAGGTACTGTGCATGTGCAAATCCCAACAAAAGTCTTGTAGAGGTGAGATGCATCACTCCATAGCTAAAACAGAGCGTTCAGCACACAGCGTGAAAAGAGGTGCTGCAGTAATGAAAAAAAGGAAATCATGTAAATGTGTTCTTGTACAACCCCTAAATAAATGATGCAATTGCAAATGAGCATAATATGAACACTTTAAACAACACCAGCACTGTAGTAACGTAACTAAATTTCCACAGAATGCAACATTAAAAACAGCTGCAGGCATTGGACACACTTCACTCGTTATTTAGTGAGCTTCAGAAGAGGCTTACTGTGCACACAGTTTCTCTCGACTGTCCCCCAGTATCACAACATTCTGTATCACGTTGCTGAGCCTGCTAGTCACATTAGCCGCGTAATAAGCTAACGCCAAGTTAGCTAAAGTACAAAACAACACAAAACATGGCAACACTTACAGCTTCAAAGTTAGAAGTCAACTCAAGTACAGCCCATGGCGATCCATCCTTGAACCGTTAAAGAGCTCGTTATGCTTGTGGAATATTTGAAGCACTAACTTATTAATTTAACACGCCCTGAAGGGTAAAGTATGAACATTGCGGTTGTTGCGGTACTTGCCATCCTCCATGTTAGGCTTGGCCAATAACGCGGTATTTCAATTTTGCTGTTATCACAACAGCCCTACAGACAATTAGTTGTCACAACTGTCACTGACTAATTTATCAATTGACATTTTAGCACCACCCAACTTACTTTGATATACTTATATTGTCTCTAGTGTTTCTCACTTCTATGGAGAGAGGGGCTTGAGTGTAGAGCTTCTTTGGCATAAATGTTGGGATTGAATCTCTGGCTTATAGAGAGCCTAAGTCACTAGCTTCCGCTTCCTGCCCATGGGACCTTATTTTGGAAAAAATATGTACGGTAGTCAATGGCGAGAAATAACTTATTGTTTGATCCTGTTTGAACTGTGCCCTGAATTACACAAATGATGTTTGTCAATTTAAAAGATAATTTTGTCCGTAAAGAAAGTTGCAGTTTGTCATAAGACAGAAAAGTTAGATGTCATTTGGTGCGAAAACCATTCAATGAACTACATCTCTTGTCTTGCACAATATACGTCACCAACATGTTAGTGCGGAAATGCTCGCTAACGTTCATTGCTTGGTTGCTGCTAATTAGATAACATAGCTATGTTCCACGCAGAAATATATCTCACCTGATGTGTTTAATCCAACGAATCCCAATCCTTTTATCACATCATCCTCTCATGTAAGTTTTTTGATGCTAGCTTCAGTAACGTTAGCTTCAGTCATTAAGAGAAAAAGTTACAACGTCACATACGTGACTTTTGGGTTTGTAGTTTTGTAATTATGCATTATCACAATCTTATACCTCAACAGTTTTACATCAAGCTGCGACTTTCTTGACTTTGAGATGTATATTTTAAATTGACCATCTTGTGTAATTCAGAGAACAATTCAAACGGGATAAATAAAATTACAAGAACGCACTAACATGGGGCCTTTAAAAAAGTTTTGCCTCCTATGTCCAAACTGAGTGAGTTTCAACTTGACATGTAGGTTCCAGCTATGACTATTTCATTTCAGCATCTGTCTATGTTATAACCAGAAACCTCTGGATGAGTTGATATGACACCCCATTGGGTGAGTTGATATGCCATTCCATGCTGCTGTAGGGGTGTGCTTGATGTCAGGCTCCGTGAAGGGCACGGC